AAGCCGCGCGAAGGACAAGCCGTTTTACAGGGCAAAGGCCGCAGTACCTTTATTTCTCAGTTATTTTAAGACCTTGAGTATTAATCCGTTCCCGGGGACCGAACACGCGACATCCCGCTATGCAGTCCAGAGCTCTAACGACTGAGCTACACCTGCCGCGGTTTCAAGACTGTGGAAAATGACTCCAACTAGACTCTAACGTCTCTCCTTTCTCTAAAGATTAAACAGCAAATGAAAGCTATTGTTATACGTGTCCTGGGAGTCCGTGGATAATTGGCCGAGCGGCACCATGAAGGGAGACTAATATTAGAGTTATCTAGTCTGTCTTAGTGTCACCGTTAATTAACAGATATCAGAGTATAACAGGAGACCAGCGTCAAACGGTTTGGTTTAAAGAAGGCTAAACAGGTCTGAATACGATTATTTTTAAGGAAAAGCGTTGACTTAAATCACATAAGAAATAACACGTTATCACTGTATGATTTTGCCGTGAGAAGGACGTGAAGAATGTTCACTATTAAAAATTTTAAAAGAAAATCCGTACAAATATTGTTTTTGAAAATAACAAAATCAAATAGTACCGTGTGAAACTAGTGTTCACGGTTTCATTTGAATGGTCACCCAAAGAATACACAGTTTAAGATTAGCGCTACTGTAGTTATTTCAAAAAACTAAATGTTTTTGTATTCGAAGTTGCATGAACAAGTCTAATTTCTATATTAGAATAAAATACATATTTTTGGGATATATTATGCCGTGCAAAGTCTTGAGACTGTTTTGAAGCGGACAAAGTATTCTTCCTAATATGTGCATATCTTACCCACCTGCCGCCAACCCAATACACAGAAGACAGTGTAATTCCCTAGCGCGCTTTGTAAAAATAGTGAGAGAGAGAGCCGCAGAAGTACATATCTTGGCGGAGAGTCTTCACTGTTAAGCTTGATTAACTGGACATCACACAAGTCAGTTTTTCCACTTTAGTTAGACTTAACACAAGTCGTCCAGACGAAGGACTACACTTCAGTGTCCAAAGCTGCATTAAATTAGTTGAATTCAGTTGCTAATCAGTTTCATCAGTAACAAAACGATTGAAAAAGAGGGGTGGGATGAAGGGTGGAATGACCTTTTTCAGGAAACGAATGAAATAAAGAGGTTAAATAGGGAACTAACACGTGACATTTTTACACGTACGACCGCTTAAAAAGAGGAGTTTTTGCCATATTCCGGAGTTAGCAGCTCCATCAGCAAGACCTGGAGGAATATTGCTAGATAATATATCTACTCGCTTCATACCTCACTGATAGCATCTTTTAAAATATGAAAGTGGTTATGCGTGACAAGTGTTGCGTGTAACGCATGCTGTTCGCCTTCCACGTGCCATGCGTTCGAGAGCCTGTTCGTTCACAAGCGCATTTGTTAGTGATACTTACCTTGTTAAGCTCTTTTACAAGAGAATCCAACTGGTCCAAAGTATTTTCCCATTTACTTGTAGCTTTTCCCCACTCCTCAAGCGCGTGGTCCTTTTCTCTACACGCGCGATCTCTCTGATCAATCACAGTCGCTAGTTCTTCCAAAGCGATTTCTTTATCAGTTTGGGCGGAGATAAGATTCTTTTGTACATCATTCAAAAAATTGTTTTTACCCTGGTCGCCACCAGAGAGCACTTCGTTCAAATTCTTGACGTATTTCCTGAGAGCAATGGCTTCCACGACAGCCTTTATTCTCGATTTATTTAATCTTTCGCAATCCTTACATGGAGTAGTAGTAGTAGCTTTTTGAAGCGGAACAGCATTTGCTTCGATGGTCGTTTCAAGGTGTTCGACTTTGGAAGGAAACACCACGTCACTAATGCTGTTTTTTGACTCTTCTGATTCTAACTCGAAGTCGCTGACAGAAATTCTAGTTCTTTTGGTCCCATTGGTTTCTCTTTCGCACTTATCGAATTCCTGCTTTATGCGGGAGCCCAACAACTCTTTCAAATTTTCAATTTCGCGTTCGGCATCTTGAAGCTTATCGTTCGCATCTTGTAGGTCCTTATTTATTTTAGTGCACTCGTCTTCAGCTTTATTTTTCTCGTCCAAAAGCTGTGCATTGTGATCCATTAACACCGTAACCTTTTCAGTATCTGACATGGAAATTGTTGAATTCCTCTGCTCGTCTCCATCGCCCGTCGTACTCGGTTCTTTTTGCGTCTGTTTATTGCGTCCGCTCAGTGACATCGAACGAAACAAACGCGACGACGTTTTCCTCTCACGATCGCTTGACGTTCTCTTCGGCATGTCGTAATTCCTTATCTCGATGCAACTGTTACGCTTAACGCCACCTAGAAGAAAAAGAAAACACGTTTCAAAATGCAGCTATGCAAGAATCCACACTTGACCAAGTGACCCTTTGGTCCTAACAAAACACACACCGGTGACAATATGACATCACCGATATTCACGTTTTCAAGCGGAAAACCACCTATCCGAGTGCGTAATTCTTGGAGCTGTAATTGTTGTTGTGATATTGAAAATATGATAGGAAATGAACTAGTGCTAAAGCTGAAGGAAATAAACTGTAGTTAGATTTCTGACACCATGGTGATGACTATAAATAAATCGAAAATATATGAAATAAATTGCGCCTTGTGTATAAAAAAAACATATTAATTTAATCAATCTGTCAAATTGTCCAAATTTTTATTCTGGAAATACTTAAACGAGCAGCCATTCCATTGTAAAAAGCAGAGCTTGAAGCAAAGTGTGCGTAATTGCGCCTTGTGTATAAAAAAAACATATTAATTTAATCAATCTGTCAAATTGTCCAAATTTTTATTCTGGAAATACTTAAACGAGCAGCCATTCCATTGTAAAAAGCAGAGCTTGAAGCAAAGTGTGCGAAAGCTTTATCATCTGAATTTCGGAAGATACAAACTCAGACACCGAATTTATTAGCATGCTTGGTTATTTCATTATCAAGTTGAATGATTCAGTTCTTTTTTTCTTCCAGAAAAATCTAAACTTTCCTTTTAAAAAGTACTGAAAACGAAATGGTAAAAATACTGTCATTTGACATAATTGCTGAACTGGTTTATAAAAACGATTAAACCAGAGGATTCCGTCCAAGCTCGAAGCCACTACTGAAGTTTTCAGCACTCCATATATGGTCTCCATTCTTTATGCTCTCGGAATAAAAACTTCAAATAAAGGTCTGTCGATCATTAGTTCTGGTATATGTGTAAACGACATGTTAAGGTACTGTCTTTTTTGCGTTTCTTTCCATTTTTTTTTTTTTGCTCAAGTGCACTGAAAAACACACCCGTCTCGCAAACAAACACATCTTTAAAAAAGCCACAACAAACGTGAGAATGACAAAGAGAGCCACGAATAAACAGACGGCTTATTTTTTTGTCCGATAACTACGTTCCATGAAGCATGGCCAAGCAATGTGTTGAAGGATCAAGCCTATTGATATATCCGAGATGTAAACTCCGTTTTCAATTCATCACCTGAGCAATACGTATAATCTATAACGTCTTACCAGTGTATTAAGAAGGCTTGATATTAAGCTCTGTCAAACAGTAAAACGCGAAAACCATTAATAGTGGACATAATTCATTAATCCTCCAGTGACCTTCGAGTCAGACACAAAATAGCTGTCAAGCGAGCTAAATGCCCCTCTTCGTTAGAGTATGGGGGCGACTGTTAATTTCCAATTCGCCTACGCGTGCTTTGCATATTCACACGGCTTCGGTCAAGCATACAGGGCTCAGCTGCAACGAATTCTGCGCCTTCCGTTTTTATTTTCTAAGCTTTACCTGCTTGTGAATAACAACCAACCGAGAATCAATTAAGAACAAGAGGAACACATTCTGGGTGGCAAATGTAAATACTAATTTGATAAGCGTGCATGTTGATGTTAAAAGTAGTTTCCTTAACAAAGAAAGCGAAGTTAATTTCGCCGCTTTCTGTAATTTTGATTTCACTAGACAATATTCAGGAAACAACGCTACCTTTTGTAGAAACCGAAACTTTCGCATCCTAATCAAAATGAAAGGTAACATTAGCATAACGAATGCTGATAATGAAAGGGACCGGTGGAAGTAAGGTCAACAAAACTACTGTTTGCACTGGTTCCCTTCAATAACACCAGTGCCTATGTTATGAATCGATAGTTAGTAGCAACTATTCCAACACTATGCACAATTTTTTTTAATGTCAAAAGCTCGAACAGATCTAGAAATAAACGAATTGTTGCTTCAGCGCGACAGATCATGACAGAGCGCAAGAAATACCAAAAATAGTGTCAGTTGTTACCCTTGAAATGGTTAGTTCGGGTAAAAATCAAACTGATAATGGGAGCAAAAACAGCGAACTTACACACCTGACTTAAAAGATTCCAGCCTCGCTAAGTTAAACATTTCTGGTTCAATTTATCACACCAAAACCGAAAACATTAGGTTTACCACACACGCCAGATGACTGCTAGACCAGTGTCTCTTCATAACACATGTTACATGAAATAGAGAAACCATGAACAAAGATAAAATGATTTGACAATGGCCGCCCGTCTGTCCAATATAATCGGCAAAAGAATACAATTTTAACCATGTTTTTACCGGAGAGAAGCATCGGAAACTTTCATGTGTGGGTAATCAATACATTTAAATTAATTCTGGCCCGATCGCGAGAGGTAAGCTCGTTACGAAATGCGGACACCTAAAAGTAGCAGCAGTGACGTACTGTATTGGCAAGATAAGAATGCCAATAACAGTTAAAAGCACATCGCTGGTCGACAAATCAGTTAAACAAAATAGCTTCAGCCGCATTCCTTGCCCAAGTACATGTGATCATGATATTTGAACTCACCAGAATACTTCACTTAAACGATTACAAGAGAATGATTCCCATCACACCGATTGCTCGCTGGATTTCGCTGGATTCTCACACTGACACCCTCTATGCTTTCGCCAAAAAAGTTGTCTTCTATAAAAAGCCCTCTTCAGCATCCACTATCCACTTGTCAACGAAGTGCAAGAGAATATTATTTCTTTTATACCGGCGAACAATGAAGATGCAGATTTGTTCCACCGTAAATATCGTAATGAATATTTATGAAGTACAATGTCATATGCTAATGAAGTCGACCTTAAGTACATTTGGAAATGTATTGACTGTCGTTTTGAGTGGCCTTCATTGTTAGAAACCATAGACCTTCACATTGCTGGTTTTGGTTTCTTTCGATTTCTTATAAATTGATTTGAACTAACCCATACATGAACACAAAGCGGCTGAAATTGTTTCCTTACTTTCAATAGCCCGAAAAAATCCTTTTCTTTTTTGTTGCTCAGTTTTTATTATAACACATTTTACTAGAAATTGTAATAACCTTCAAGGACCTTCATTTTTTTGAGCGGTAAACTATTATGTTCAAATGGACATTTGTAAACATCAGCTGCACGTGTGATGAACTCAGTTAGCAACTGAACAAGTGTGCCACCAACTGAATCTTGAATGCCCCACCGACAATTTGCTCCAAATGATACTAAGCATTTTGCCGATGTTAAGCAGAACAACAAGAATTGTTAGCCATGGCGATTCAGTTTTTATCCTAACAGTAACTCTACTAAATTTTACAATCTTACATTTTTCAGTTAAGACTAAGCTACTTGTTTTAACCTTTTCTAACATTCTACAAATTCAAATTCTTCTTTCAGAGAACTTTCAAGAATTAACCGCTGTAAATGATTTTCGTTATATACAAATTTGCTTAAAAACTTATATCACCCACCGGTATCTCTACCTTGATTGATCAGGCGATGAAGCGGCGCAGCTACGTCGAGCGGGTGGTACGTGATTTTGAGTTGCAATCCGAAAACAAATACGCGTGTTACCTGCACCCTCCACAGATTAGCCCACAGGCATTTTTTGATCAAGAAGAAACATAAAAACTTGAAAAAATTGTGGCAGGAAGCAGGGATATCTTGTAGAAAATTTTTTTCTTCCCGACGTTTGTTCGCTGTTTACTTGTCTCCTAATAACAGTTCTGTTCTCTGGCCTCCTGGCCCAAAAATCAAGATGGAATTTACGACATGAAACATAGTAGATCACCGGCAAGGTATACGGGCAAATCCTCACAGTAAATAAAGAAGGAGTAAAACAATTCATCACAAATTGACACACAAGCATATTCGCCGATATTTATCTGACAGGCTTAGCCCACCAGATTAAAAGTCCCGGGGGGTGGGGGTGTACTTTAGGAACTTTTGGGTGCGGATTTGCCGCTGAGACCCTGGAACCCTTAGTCTACACCAGAGCTAGTTCAGCTGAATTTTGCTACCCTATGCTAGACTAAACTTCCCAAATCCCCCCTATCCTAGAGTAGCTTTTAGGCCGCAGTTTCGTAAATTAAAACTTGCCGATTTGTTGATTTTTTTATATTTTTGAGTGGCATTTCCAGATTTCCTAGTCTTGACTAAAATCTTCAACCAACTGATCAGTTTCCTGGAAAATGATACCCTATTCTAGACCCAAACTCTCTGATTTATATACACTATTCCAGAGTAAACTGCTTGAAAACCATACCCTTCACAGCGGCACATACCTATATAGCCCATATATGGCAGTACCCACCCCCCTCCCACCAACGGGTTAAAGTATATTTGAACTGGTCACTAAAAATGGATTCCCCTTCAACAGCTACTCGAATTGGGTTTTAGCTAATCAGTTAAGATGGGATCCGAACGTGAAGCACGTACCAGAGTATTAACACACTAAAAAAAGCCGGTCAAAAAACTGAAAGACAGATCGGATTCTATTTATCCGCTTGTGATTAGCAAAACCAGTACCGATGCCAAAATAAGAACAGCTTTGTAATCGTACGCGTTGAAGTTAGTGTTGCGGTTACCTAATCCTTGGTGAGCTACTAACACAATACATGCAACACAAATACATCATGCCGACCATTTTTAAGGAGAAAATATTTTTATAATCTTTACCACTACTCACCGCCTTAAGTGACTAATCAAACAGGTTACCGTTTCCGAGAATTTTTCACCTAAGCATTTTAATTTACAGCTTATAGTAGGCTTATACGGTAAAAATTAGCATATGTAGCATATGGTAGATATCATCAGTTGCCTTTTTTAAACGCTTCGAGAACAGGACGTTCAATTGCGTGGTGTGCCTGTGCTAACTTGTCTAAGGGCATAAAGCGGGCAAAGTAAAGTTTTGGTTTTGGTTTTTAAAATGATACTTTATTGTGTTAATTTAGTTTTTTCTACCGATGAAATGTAAGAGTGATCTTTAATATATCATAATTGCATGCTTATTCACTACAGAAACTGGTGTTTACTTTTCTATTATTTTCAAGTACAACTTTAGAATCACTCTAAGAGTCTTTCAAAGGAAGTGAAGCGTTTACCCCTTAAAATCCTTCAGAAATATTCCTTACGTGATGCCATATAGGATGATAATCGACAATAATGGCATAACGCCCGTAAGGACTATCCGTAAAATATCTCCTAAATACGGATGCAAATGTTAACCCCTTGTAAAGAATGGTTCAATATTTCATAGGTTTCAAATTAACGCATATTTGTTGAGGTATTTGTATTGCTGCTCAATTCATGACTCAGCTCCTAGATGTACTAGATTTTTCTTTTCCTTTATGAGGGATGTGGGTATTTGGAGCATTACTGGCACGTGAAACTCAGACCTTTGCCAGCCCTCGTATGCTGTCAGATATCAGATACACTATGCTGTCAGCTGTCATATATTATGCAGGATATTACGCTAGCTGACAGATATTATGCAGCAACTCGACATTAATCGTTGTTCAGTTTAAGTTCAAAATGCTACAGCACTTTTTCCTAAAGTAGTCAGAGACGCAAATGGTGGAAGAGGTCGCCAATACTTTAACTCTTGAGAGTCCTTTCCCTCATATGTGAAAAAAAGAATACAGTTTTCCATAAAAGGTTGGGAACCGGCGGTTGGTCTCCAGCCTGGGTCATGCAGGATGAAGCGACTGTATTCTTGCATCTTTATTTCGTAAATAAATAATGTAGTAAAATGAAAAAAAAAAGTCGTTATACTGCAATTTCTTACCTTGATCAGTTTTGCCGACTACAGGCAAAGGCTGGCATGTTTCTTCCCTAATCTCCTCGATATTTCCAAGGCTGTTAGACCTTTCAATAATTTGTTCTTCCAACTTCGATGTCGAGTTTGAGCCTGCAGAAAAACAAAAGTAACTTTTAATGTCTTTGACGAAGGAGAACGCGTACTATTGCAGAAATATACAACTTATTTCTTGCCTTCAAATGAATATAGATCAAGCTACAACAATTACGAAACAGAAATGATTTTCGAGATTAAAACGGTCACTCTGTATCATGGGGACTCTTACCGTCACGAAAATCGTTTCTCTTTTTAAGTGGATACCGAGAAACTGACCACAATAGACCTTTTTACCGATACGGCGGCCATATTAATTAGATTTAAGGAGTATTATGGGATGCCCAGGGGGCATTCGCTCAGAATTTACGCGCGCTCTTTGGGCAAAAAGGGAACTTCAGAGTATATTTCTCAGGAAAAAGGCGATCATTATGACATCCAAACACGGCCCAACGATCTTTTTTCCCATTAAATCTTTTTCTAGGAAAACTGAAAGAAAAATTGGCCCGAAATGCGCGCGTAAATACTGAACGAACATATCGGATCGTGCTCATGCACCCCTAGGCATCCAATAATACTCCTTAAATCCACTGGATTCAATATGGCCGCCGTATCGGTAAAAAGGTCTACTAAGCGGCCGTGAGTTTTATGAGTCGGCAAAGGCACCCGGGGGGTACTTCCTGATATAAGCCATATAGGCATGTGCCGCCCCAAAGGGTGTGGTTTTTTTTCGCCGTTTTGGCCTGAAAATGGGTATAGACTTTGCCCAGATTGGTCTGGTCTGCCATTTTAATTCCAAATAAAGAGGACAGAAAGAATAATATGCAAATTCGAGAACAAGAGCCATAATGGGACAGCTCGAGAAGGATTTTAAGAAATCTTTTTGTTGGCGTACTAATCTAAGTAATAATTGAGAGCTTAAGCTTCGCGCATACGGCAAACGGCAAACGTCAGATTAAAGTTGATAGCTTCTCAAAAGGTAGGAAATGAGCAGATAAAAACAGCTCAAAACAATTCTTTAGGATAAAAAATTGCGTGAAACTACCAATTTATGTGTAGAAATAATGAACCGTAAACGACAAGTTTAGGGAAAACTTGGTCACGTGGTACAAATTCGCGTTTGCCGTTTGACGTAAACGTGATGACGTAATTTCTTAAACGCAAAGTCTGAAAACGGGTATGGATTTTAGCCTGGAGCTAGTGGATTTTGCTACCGTTCTTAACTTGCCTGACGGACAAGTGCTGTTTTTTGGGGAAATTCCAATTGCAGAAGGATTGTAATCAATCCTGCTAATCAAAAAGGGTTTCGAGGCTGGTTAAAGTGACTTGTGGGCTATTACAGGCTAGCTACAGTTTGCCCGAATGGCAGGCTGTAAAACTGACTTTCTTTGCACTCTGACACCCCCACCAAGATTTCCCAGGAGTACCCCGGGTGCACCAAAAAGTGGCGCAGAAACCAGGGTATGTGAAGATCGGCGCTGCGCAGCTTCGTTTCGTTACAAAAACCGCTCCAAAATAGCCGTTCCTAGATGTTAACAGAAGCCTTGTCCGATATGGTCTTCGTGCCGGCGCAAAAGCTATCCGGAATAGTGTTAAGTAGTAATATCCCTGGAGTTTCTTAGATTAAGCCCCACACTGAGGTGCAAGGCCTACACAACAGAACTGGGCTTGCTGGGACGGAAATAGCGTCTAGGGGTAGTCACGATCAGATAATTGGTTACGTCACTAATGGTTCCACGAGACTCAGGCTCATTACTGGTGAAAAATGGGCAAACATCAGGGAGAGCGTGAGGAAACAGGCGAACCAAACAGGAGAATCTGAGTAGGGAAATGATCGGGGCCGCACTTCGCCTTTTAAAACTTAGAAGGCAAATTTGAAATTTCTATTGTTTCTCATTAACTATCGATTAAGCCGGATAGATATAAAGTGTGAGTCTGCTTCTTAATGCAAAGAGCACATTCTCATAGTTTTAACAGGTATTTTTAGGTGAATTGAAGCGTTTGGTTTATATCTAATTGCTACCCGGGTTGATAAAAAAGCTAATAAGTCCAACAAACAGAATGCGGGGGTTTGCGATAATGCTAATCACTTAAGAAGAATTTTTACAGATATCCATCCTCAACGGCAATTTCCCACACAAAATGGCGACCATTGGACAGAAAAAACTACAAATTCTACCTAAGCCGTATGCATAAAATGAAATCAACTCTTAAGGGAGTTTCGGTTAAAACTTGCGTTCATGCAGAACAAAGGAGTTTTTACAGTTTTCGTTGTGTTCTTTTTTTTTCGCTGATTACGATTATCTTTCCAATTCCTCACCAGTGTAGCGATTAAGTCCCAAATCAGTCCCAAATAAATCTGCTCGCTTGATTATCAGCGATAAGCTTTAATCATTGCGGCCAGTGAGGCAGGGCAGAACTAAACGAAGAGTCATTGGGTGAAATCGAGCAAAAAGTGTCAGAAGTCTAAGAGATGACAAAAATTGAACGCCAAACAAAAATGATCTGTATAGGGCACGCTTAATACGGCTTTACATTTTAAGCAACAAAAAAGCACACAAGTAAGTTAGAGAAATAGTTTGTCCCTAGCTCAGTAGCTTATTTTTATTACAGTTATTTTTCACCCGGTCAAACAACAAATGTGCGGTAAAAGATAACACCTAATACTGAGGAAGACAAATCAGTGATAGTTTATTAACTTCACTATCGCGGTCATCAATTCAACTCTACTAACAATTTTTCGAAATAATATTTTAATACGATTTCAGAAGCTCAATTTGTTCCCCAGAACTCCTTAAGACCGAGGTGAAGAATAAGCTACATATGAAGAGAGATTCAATAAGAATTAAGTCATCTCCAGACAAAGAATATAATCCGTTCGGAATTCCGGCTTTGGTAGGTTATGCTGACGATACTAGGGCTCCTCTTTGGACACAACTGACTCAAGAGAGAGACCAAACATTCTCTGCAATTTCACGGCTCGAGTGCCTTAGACTTAATGCAGCGCGCCACTCCCAGGCAAACCTTGTTTCTCTTATCGGCAATGGCATTTTACTGATAGAGGACAACGTAAATTAGACAAAACATGTCTAATACTTAATTAACTTACTTCGCCTTCCGGTACAACAACGCCTATGTTATGTTAAGATTAACTTTCGCGGACTGAAAGTCGCTTGCGCTGCTGTAATCTAATGCATCTTGTTATCTGGAAGATAACTGAAAATCAAGAAGGAATGAAACCGCCTCTGTGGTTTTTTAATGATTAAACGGTATTTTACTCTCGTTTAGATGATTACTATTTCCAAGACAGTACTCTTTGATATTAAAAAACACTAAAGTTGGCTTTCCAGCTGTAGGTCGCCAGCAACAGTTTTGACCACCAGGGTGGAAAGAGACAGAGATGATGAGAAAAGCTTCTTATCAAGCGACAAAAACGGGGACTATGTAGGGTAAAAACCAAAGAGATTCACCCCTAAAGTTCACTGAACGCGATATTCTTCCATAACATCAGGTCCCCACGACGAAAACCACTGGCTTCAACATTGCGGCTTTAAGCTCGCGAACTCGCGAGCCAAGGTAGCTCCAGAATAAGCGGTGCTCGGACCTACAACACCCTACCGAGAATCATTAGACAAGTAAAGACGCACAGCAAATTTAGAATCAAGCTAAAGCGCCATTCTAACCAGTAACGCCTGCGGTACATGTTGCCTTTGTAACTTAATTAATTTTGTAGTGCCAGGGCTCCATTTAAACTAGCTCTGCCAAATTGGATGCCCCTGGATAAAATAATAATACTGATTAAAAAAAAAGAACTCGCGAATTGTAGTGTGCATGTCTGAATTGTCAACTGCGTGTCGAACAGTACCAAATTTAGCACCTTGCACTTGTAGACTACCGTAACTTTGCCACGCCTTAAATCAATGGTTACACAGGAAAAATGTGAACATTTACGACTTCAAGGTATTTTCCGTTTGCCCCTTAGAAAAATCTCACTCCTAACTCTCGCGTCGAGTTTTTCATCATTTAACAAAATTTCAAGACCTCACTGTAATTATTCAACTTTCTCTGCCTCCAGTGAAAATAATTTTAAAAAATCTTGACAGGCAACTCGTTTTACTTCTCGTGGTTTTCAATAGGATAATGCCGTTGCGTAAAGAAACTTGAGATGTACTGGAAAACAATTCCAAACTTTGGAATTCTTTTACAGTACTTCTCAAGTTTCTTTACGCAAAGACAAACCACGGGAAGTAAAGTAAAGAGTTACGTAATTCAGCCCAAAGGCTGTATGTAATATTGATAAACTATCTCTGTCTAATGTTCTGTTGCGATACGCTCTAACTAGGACTATCAAACTGAAATATTAGTGGTCTGTTTCTTTCTCTCTGTGTCGCCAGCTGAGCGCCATTTTTTCCCCCTCAGTGCTGCAACCTCCAACATTAGTTAAGTATGCACTTGAGCACGAACAAATATTTTGACGTGTAAAATCACAACGGACATTCCAAGCGGGCGAGATAAGAGCTCGTATTAAGACGCATTAAGCAACGTTTTACCTACACCGTGATAACGGGCATGTTACAAAATTTCATATCAAAATATAGGTCCAATTTGATTGCGATCAGTGTCTTGCGTTTCTCACACGAGTCACTCGATAAATCCTCCCCAAACCTATTAAATGGATCTTTCCCGTGGTGTTATTTTAGCCTGAGATGATGCCCTCCCTAAATATCTTTATCTTTCACAGTTAACTGTAGTAGTTATTGAACACTGGCTGAACTATACTATTACTAAGAAGGTCTACATTTATGCCAGTGGGTTCAAAAGTCTGAAGAGCCGGTATTCAAATCAGCTTTCAAAGCAGCTGTTTGACGATTGTGCAGTCTTAGACCAATCTAAATTCTACGGATACCACCATTCTGACCATTTGAATGGGCGCTGTCAAGCAAAACTCTCCCGTGGTACTGTTTATTACACTGACAGCGCGAGAAATCCCTGATACTACCATCAACAACTGAAACTTGCGAAAAATAGTTCTTTCCTTTCGCACATTGATTCCGATATCCTGACAAAAGAGACAATTTAACACTCTGTTACCAGCTATTTATGAAAAGCATAACCACCGTTAAATCATTTCCCTTTGTAAGGAATCTCAAAGGACAGCTTGAAAGATTATTGGACAATAAAAGGTATTCACTCTTCACTATCGCTTTCCGGTTGTGTAGTTGGTAGTATTTGTTGTCCACAAATTGAGGCGGCAAAACACAACGCAAACCATCTTCCCTTAACATTTTCTTTTCCAAAAAACTAATTCTATCAAATAGCTTCAGGCTATGTTATTTTTAGAAAGGGTTATCAATCATTTAAGTAATGAAAAAAAAAGAAGCTTGAAAATGCTAAAAAATTGCAACTCGACTGAGCGGAGAGAAAGGGCTAACGAGGTGCGAGTGACCTTTTCTTATCAGTAGAAAATAATCTCCAAGCATTTGCAAGAATCCAATCATGAAATAGTTAAAGGCAGGATGAAAGAACCTTTTTGACAGCGCTGTGAGTCCTGAGGGCTCTCAAAACAAGTTGAATAGTCGCTCATCACCTGCGATTGAAGTAGTTCGCGCGATCGCCTAGCAAAAGACGTCCTGCTTGACATGATGTAACCATACGAGGTGACAGATTAACAGTCTGTTGTGCTTTGCAAGTCACGAAAACAGAAATCCGTTGAATATTTACCACAAAATAAGAGAGAAAAAGAAAGAAGACCACGAGACTGAAAATACCAGCAAAAGGACAAACATAACCGTGACTAGCTACTTTTTATAAGATCCTTTTATCGAAAGACAATACAAATTTATTCTTGTCTAGGTGTGTAATTAACACGCGAGATACTGTAGATGTAATATTGAACTCGCCAGTCGTTGTTTATGTAATACGGTTTTTCATCATGTTTAAACTCACGTGGACGCAACATTTTACTGTCTTCACAGAATCTACCGTAGAGTGGTGAAATGTGTTTCAATGACTATTGCAAAACTGTACATTAAGTAAATTTTAGCACGGGTTCTAATAGAGACATGATCGATCCATTTTTAAGCGAAAGTTGTATTGACTATTCAGCACTGCCTGAGTGATAATAATCATCTTTTATAAAATTTCAAGAAAATATGTAAACGGTTTGTAATGGAACGGCCGAGATGTAAACAAGTCGAATTTTCACACAAGCAACGCAAACTTACAATGTTAAATAAACAAAGTGCATTTACCGTAGACAAAGACGGTTAAACATACAATTCAACTATTTTCATCTTGGTGGGAAAAATCGGATCACTCACAATAATGTACACGTTTTCAAAACCTCGTGGCCTATTGTCTTCAAGAAGCACGCTAAAGATAAACACTCCGCAGCCAGCAAAATAAGGCCATTATGGACCCCTTCGTTATTATTAAGCATCTTACCAGGATAAGGAGCGTAGCCATAGATGCTTAGCAGCAGACTCCCTTGCTTTAAGCCATGCTGATGAACGCCGCTCGAAGGCGGAACTGCGTCCGGTACGCTCATTTACAACCGCTCGTCTCGGAGGACGTGAGCAATCGGTATTCTCTCTTCTGCTAGATATTAGATGAATTGCGTTCTCGTTGACAAAGATCCACAGTAACCCCACAATTGTTAACTCTTATGAAACACCAGGACGTCTTCGTAGCTGACTAGACAAAGGCTACAACATCCTTTCTGCTGTTGACCTTTTCGCATATTGTCTGAGGATGCGTACTAAAGCGAAACTCGATGCCAATTGACCTGATATCCGTTTAATCAACATCTCAGCGAAAATTTTGTGTGACGTTTACTAAACTCTCTCTAGCTCTCAAACCATCTGATACAATATAGCTAGCGTATTCTCTGTGCTAAACCGCATAAGATTCACTGTTTTAAATTCTTAGATCCCAGAAAATGTTTGAGAACATGAAATACTTTATTTTAAGGAAATAATTTCATGATATAGGATCCGCCCTATAGTGACCCCCGCCCGTCCTTGTATACTAGTTTAGAGAATTATTTTGTCTTTTATAGTCTTTCATCTAAGACCTCGTAANTAAGCCATGCTGATGAACGCCGCTCGAAGGCGGAACTGCGTCCGGTACGCTCATTTACAACCGCTCGTCTCGGAGGACGTGAGCAATCGGTATTCTCTCTTCTGCTAGATATTAGATGAATTGCGTTCTCGTTGACAAAGATCCACAGTAACCCCACAATTGTTAACTCTTATGAAACACCAGGACGTCTTCGTAGCTGACTAGACAAAGGTTACAACATCCTTTCTGCTGTTGACCTTTTCGCATATTGTCTGAGGATGCGTACTAAAGCGAAACTCGATGCCAATTGACCTGATATCCGTTTAATCAACATCTCAGCGAAAATTTTGTGTGACGTTTACTAAACTCTCTCTAGCTCTCAAACCATCTGATACAATATAGCTAGCGTATTCTCTGTGCTAAACCGCATAAGATTCACTGTTTTAAATTCTTAGATCCCAGAAAATGTTTGAGAACATGAAATACTTTATTTTAAGGAAATAATTTCATGATATAGGATCCGCCCTATAGTGACCCCCGCCCGTCCTTGTATACTAGTTTAGAGAATTATTTTGTCTTTTATAGTCTTTCATCTAAGACCTCGTAAATGGAGTTACTTTAATTGCAAACGCACGTCCAATGTCATGTCAAGGGCCGGCAAGGCGGGCAGGATTTTAAACATTTCATTATGAGCTGGTTCCAGACTCATTCCGCCACTCTTCTGAAATCAGCGAAGGTGAAATTTCTCAACTTACAAGTCGACGAACAGAGGTCAATGGCTTCATAACCATGATTATAAAAGGAGGTGCGAAAAAATACATGTGTAAGCATTATTTTTACCTGCAAGAATTCAGACATCATATGCTATAAGTGGCCTTTATAAGGGGCGCAGGTGCTTATGCCAAATTTAGTTATAAATGTTTTTGCCAAAATTTAAGAGGCTGGCCTAAACATAAATAAATTTTCGTTGTACAACTTAAAACAATTTCAACAGGTACTGAACCACGGAAAAAACAAAAACTGCCACACGCACTTTAAAGTCATACACAGCAGAGTTTTTCTTAGATGAATGATCGCCTTTGGCTCTACAGAAAAGTCCACAAAGACTGACAAAATAAGGCAGTATTTACAGCAATGACAACTTTCCCAAGCTTTTGTGTAAACTACCATGAGATCATAAAGGTTCCTTTGCTAATGCACAAAGATGGTACCTGAGCAAAGAGAGTAAGACAATTCGTTTTCCAAGGCTGCGAATGAGAGGGAAGAGATCCCGGCAATGAATGGCTTATTTACATAAAGAAACCGTACTTGAAAACTACTTCCCACTTGTCCGTTCTTAGTAAAAGAAACCATCTGCTCTGCTGGATTCTCACGACGTATTAAATTATACACAGTATGACGGAAACTTTCTTCACGATTCGTATGCATCGTCACTTCACCTTCACTTTAGGCCGCAGGGTTTGAAAGGCACTTTAAGTTACAACCATCTTCGCCAAAGAACAAGACACAAAATTCAGCATTTAACACACATAACATAGAGTCTGAAGTCTCTCATGAATGAGTCATGAAGCATGTTATTAACTAAAGCTATCACGTCACGACCAGTAAGGGTAAAAAAATCGCATAGCATTACATGCAAATGGCGTGATCCAGGCATATTTGTTTGTTTGCAAAGAAGATTAATCTTCTCGATTTGCCTATGACGCAGCCTAGTCAAGTTTTAAGTTCCATGTCGTCTCCGTTGAAAAAGTCAAAATGGCAACGAAGCAAAGCGTGTACGCGTCATGAAATACTTTATTTTAAGGAAATAATTTCATGATATAGGATCCGCCCTATAGTGACCCCCGCCCGTCCTTGTATACTAGTTTAGAGAATTATTTTGTCTTTTATAGTCTTTCATCTAAGACCTCGTAAGTGGAGTTACTTTAATTGCAAACGCACGTCCAATGTCATGTCAAGGGCAACTGGCAAGGCGGGCAGGATTTTAAACATTTCATTATGAGCTGATTCCAGACTCATTCCGCCACTCTCCTGAAATCAGCGAAGGTGAAATTTCTCAACTTACAAGTCGACGAACAGAGGTCAATGGCTTCATAACCATGATTATAAAAGGAGGCGCGAAAAAATACATGTGTAAGTATTATTTTTACCTGCAAGAATTCAGACATCATATGCTATAAGTGGCGTTTATAAGGGGCGCAGGTGCTTATGCAAAATTTAGTTATGAATGTTTTTGCCAAAATTCAAGAGGCTGGCCAAAACATAAATAAATTTTCGTTGTACAACTTAAAAAAATTTCAACAGGTACTGAACCACGGAAAAAATAAAAACTGCCACACGCACTTTAAAGTCATACACAGCAGAGTTTTTCTTAGATGAATGATCGCCTTTGGCTCTACAGAAAAGTCCACAAAGACTGACAAAATAGGGCAGTATTTACAGCAATGACAACTTTCCCAAGCTTTTGTGTAAACTACCATGAGATCATAAAGGTTCCTTTGCTAATGCACAAAGATGGTACCTGAGCAAAGAAAGTAAGACAATTCGTTTTCAAAGGCTGCGAATGAGAGGGAAGAGATCCTGGCAATGAATGGCTTATTTACATAAAGAAGCCGTACTTGAAAACTACTTCCCACTTGTCCGTTCTTAGTAAAAGAAACCATCTGCTCTGCTGGATTCTCACGAAGTATTAAATTATACACAGTATGACGGAGACTTTCTTCACGATTCGTATGCATCGTCACTTCACCTTCACTTTAGGCCGTAGGGTTTGAAAGGCACTATAAGTTACAACCATCTTCGCCAAAGAACACGACACAAAATTCAGCATTTAACACACATAACATAGAGTCTGAAGCATATTATTAACTAAAGCTATCACGTCACGACCAGTAAGGGTAACAAAATCGCATAGCATTACATGCAAATAGCGTGATCCAGGGATATTTGTTTGTTTGCAAAGAAGATTAATCTTCTCGATTTGCCTATGACGCAGCCTAGTCAAGTTTTAAGTTCCATGTCGTCTCCGTTGAAAAAGTCAAAATGGCAACGAAGCAAAGCGTGTACGCGAGTCCCCTTCCCGCGCTACCATGGGGCTAATCATTGACTTTTTGGAGTCGAGGGGGTGGGTCATTTTGAGATAAAAAATCTGGCAAACAGCCTTAGAGCGAAAACAAGCCTTGTTATTAGTCCTATCCAAAAAATTACTAGGGAGGTAGTAAGCCTGTAGAAACTTCTTACCTAAAGCCACCCTCCCAGTGGAAAAGTTTTAGTTTCCAGATTGGCCTTTTGTAGTCTCCTATAAAAACTATCATGAAAAAAGGATTCTCCAAGAAATTCAACAAAGAATGCAACAAGAAAATATAAAACTCACAGCATCAAAAAACAAAAAGACAAATAAAGCTTTAGAAAAATTAATATTTTGACAAGTAATCCGCCTTGCCTGATAGAAGTATCCAGTCTTCGGTTTTAAGTTGAAGCGGCTGTGTACGTAGCTAAAACAGATGCGTATGCAGTGTGGTTCTTCATGTTGCCTTTAAGTCATGTCAAGTTTTCTTGTCAAATTGACTAAGCCATTGTCGTCTCTGGCAAGGGCTTATCAATCCTCTCAAAAGGGCCAATCATTTTTTTACATGGTGATGGTGGTTTTAGGGGTGATGGGGTTGGGGGTATAATGGGTAGCTGCTGACACCCCACTGCATATTTCTAAGAGAAAATGGCAATGCATTAATTAAAATAATTTTCATTTAAAATTTTCCAAATTGTTTTTTTTTTAATTTAATGCACATTGTGAAATACATTGACAGAAAATGCCAGATTAGGACAAAAAAGCTGGCATTTGTCTTGGATCGAAGTTTTGGCTGTATTTTCTAGCAAAAACAGTCGCTGGAAAGAGTTGCTGTTGAGTATTGTACCAAGTAGGACACTTCGAAGTCTGCTTCCCTCCAAAAATTTGAAATTTGCAGAAACTCAGAAGTGCTATTGATTATCATTATCATTAATCCTTTTTGTTACTCTATCAGAATGTCTGCAAAACAAATTCCATCACTAAAACGACCCTATGCATGCCATAGATTTTCGTCTGACCCCTTGGCCTCATTTGAAGCCATCCACCATTTTTCCGGCCCCAACTCATTCAGTTTGAGAAAAATTAAAGGTTCCCAGGAAAGGAAAAGAGATGACACAACAGATAACAGGACTTGTGTTAGCTTTCATATTCTTTCATACATGTACTCGGCTCAGCTGAGGGAACTGACCTTCCTAAAACGGACAACTAAAGTTGGACGCTGCTGTTCCGGCAGCCATTTTCTTTGACTCTCTGAATAAAAGACGGACACTCAGCTAGTGCTGGTCGCAAGTTGACAGAGTCATCAATAATTTCTTGGACCTGCAACGCCAAATTCACACGTGACACTTAAAATATTAAACGCTCTATTAAAGGTGCCGTTCCATTACAGAACACTTAACACATTGTAAAGTTCTTCAAATTCTTCATATTAACTTGTGTTCAATATTTCCGTAATCGTTTGGCTTTTTCGAGATTTCAAAAACGCCTAAACGTCGACTCCTTTTAAGAGTCAAAGAGACAGAACAAGAAGAAGTTTCCCCCTAGCTAATGCTAAAAACTAAGCACTGCTAATTACCTGCAAATTAGGTGACGCTACATGAATGGCCGAAACATCCCCTGT